CTTTCTTTGTGTTCGAAAAAAGTCATGAAAATTAAACAAATTAGATGTTTGTTTTTGTACACAAAGACAACATGAGCTCATAATGTTTCCTCTGTAGTGAAACTGGGTGATGTGTTCATGGACGTTGGAAATGCAAATGTGGGGAAAAAACGATGTAAAACAGTCTGATGATGTTTCCTGATTCAGTTGCATTTAATTTACCTCCTTATATTTATTTATAAAAGTGGAGAAAATGTCGTTATAGTGTCTGAAACAACAGAGTTCACGGTAGCAGCTCGGTGTTGCTAATGTAAACAAGCACTAAACACAAAATGTATTTAACAACCCAATCTGACGTGTTTTTGTATTATTATATTATATTGGACAATTATTGATGAACCTGAGTGTTGATCAGCCAGATATTGTTTATATTACATACTTTAATAACCAACTGTATGATGCTGCTACAAGAATCCTCCGAACTGATCCTTCCGGCGCCGCAGCGGGAACGTGTTTAACTCTGAAATCATTTGAACAGTTGCTGCTCGTTCTGTCCCGTTCAGTCACTCGATGTACCTCGGCGTCCGGTTTCCAACCCCAGCAGACAGACTCACACAGACGGACTCTGGATTTTAAAACTCTCGTCATGATTTGAATGTTTTCCGGCGGTAACTGAACTCCAGCTGAAGTAACGACGGCGAGTATTTGTAGTTCACACCTTCCTCTCCGCCGCGTCCGACTGATGACGGACACTCTGTCCCTGCTCGGAGACATTTTTAGCCACTGAAGTGAAATTACTGTAATTTTCTGGGGAAGGAAAAAGCTTCTAGCCGCCCCGGCTAATGGTCGCCATTACGGTTTCTGACAGCGAGCCGGACGGCAGAGAAACAGGATGTCTTCTGTCTGTCAAACTCCACGACCACACGGGTTTCATTAAAGCACACCTGTTTTAAATCAGTAATCATTTAATGGAGGGAAACTGACGGCGAACATCCAGCGGGACAGAGAACGCCTTCCTGACGGCGTTAAAGCGCTCGTGTCGTTTTATAATTTCATTCTAACGGTTGCTATGGATACAAGTGAGATTATTATTATTGATAACTGTTGGTGTATTTATCCTCATTTTTAAAGAGTTAGACGAACAATATTTTTGGCTTCATGTAATTCCAACACTGTTTAAAAAAACCAGTCTGCAGAAATAAACTGCATTAGATTAATATAAAGTGACTCGTGGGTATCCATACAAAGCATTTTAATTCAGGTCAGAGGTCAAGTGAAGCCTCCAACATGCGATGGATGCGTTCGGTCTAGTTTTGGTATCTTCACTCCTTAAAACTGAGTTCGCTACAGTTTCTGAAAGACAGCGGGGGGGGGAAAGAAGGTTTAATTAGTTTTTTGCCCCCCCCCCCCCCCCCCCCCCCTTGGCACGCGCTCTGAAGCTGCACTGGCGTGTTTCAGGTACAGGTGGACGAGTTTGGAGAAGCTTTAAATGAGTAGCGAGGAACTTACGACGGAGACGTTATTACGGAGGTCAACAGTAGAAAGACAGACGTTACAGACGAGTTCAACCTTTTCAGGATTTCTCTGCAGCTTTTCTATAAAAAAAAACATGATTTTCTTTGGTGTAATTCATTAAAAGTTGAAGGTAAATTTGCTCGTAGTTTGGTGACGAATCAGTGAAACTACGATTATTAGTTAGAACTGAAAAAGACGAAGAGATTAGCTGGTTGAATTCAGCTTCCTGGAGGAACTGTGGAGACTCTGCTGCTGTGCTTTGGTTGTGTGTTAATAAATCAAACTCAGGAAACAACAGACTGCAGAAAATGCAGATTTGTATGAAGTGGTTGAAAACAGCCTCCTGCTCTCCGTCAGACGGCTTCGATACGAGTCGATAACACAGAAAGAATCCTTTTACACTCTCGTTGTTTATCTGAACTTAAAGCACTGCAAAAAAATTCCTCTTTAATAATGAAACTTGACCTTTTTGTCTCGTTGTTTACATGGAAATATGTAACTCCGACTGTTGAACTCATGAAATCACAGTCGGTATGTTGGGGGGGGGGCTTATCTGAATGACAGCCACTCTCTCTCTCTTCATTCAAAGGGCAGAGCTCTCCATAGAAGGAGGGATTGTGTTGGATTGGGGGGGGAGGAGGGAGGTTGGGGGAGGCGGGGGGGGGGTCAGTACTATGAGTCAGCACACACACTCACACACACAGGTCGTTGCGTTACCATAGAGACAGCCGAGTTGGTCAGCGTAAATGCAGGAAGGACGCCGGCGGACTGTTAATGTGGAGGAGTCCTCACAGGGGGGAGGGTGGGGGAGAGAGAGAGAGGGGAGGGAGAGAGCGAGACAGAGTGGAGGGTGGGGGGGGGGGACCTCATTGACCTCTGACCTCCTCACTCCTGACTGCTAATAACTTGCGTCTGAGTGATATTTGACCTTCGACCCCAGCAGGTGTTGTTTTGATCTCTGTCCTTTGTTAGCTGGGAGTCCAAAGGTGTGTGTGTGTGTGTGTGTGTGTGTGTGTGTGTGTGTGTGTGTGTGTGTGAGAAGGCCGCATGCCAACAGGTTGGAAGCTGAAAACTTAAAAGTGAAACAGATGAAATGAGTTCATGAAGAGAAAATGTATTTTTATTGTTTTTTAAATTCTAATATCAGAATTTAAGATTAAAACTTTTATTGATAGACAATCACAAACTACCCATCAGGTAAAGTTTCTTTATTAAATAAAGTGTTTTAAAATGTATAAATTGTAATAAAATAATAGTTAATAGCACATTATAGAGGCACAAACTTGAATTAAACTGAGATTTGGTTTTTTTTTGGTCATTTATATTTCATATATTCTGCTGAATGGGATCAATATTGATCTAATCTCATCAATACATTCATATAAAACATATAAAGTAACATAATACATTATCTATCCAATATTTAAATCTGAATTATTTAAGTTTGCAGTCAAAATGTGACCTGATAGAAACACTTAAAGTAAATGTATTAAACATTTGTATATTTAATTAATCATACGTTGACATTTTACCAATAAAGTTGATTGCGATCAATAAAACGAGTCCACATTGTGATTATTGCTCAATAAATCATCATTTTGCTTCACAGATTAAATCTTTAACTGATAAAACCTATTAAAATACTAATAATGTGACATTAAACCACACTGTATACATGTTCTCTCCACGTGTGAATGATGGGAATGAATATGGGAATACCGTACCGCAGCGTTCCCACTGCTCCCTGTTTGTAACCCCGCCCACTCTTTAACCACCCAGTGAAAGCACAGAGAGCGCCACTTTAACGTTTAACATGTTTATTGAAATAAAATCTCGCTTTTAGCTGTAAAAAAAAACAACAAAAAAAAAAAAACACAACAAAAGAAGAAAACTGTACATTTAATTTCCCCTCAGAAGAAGAATACATGAGCAAGCGTGCGTGTGTGTGGCGCTTTAAATCCGACGGTCCAACAGTGTTGTGTGTGTGTGTGTGTGTGTGTGTGTGTGTGTGTGTGTGTGTGTGTGATGGCGATGACAGTGAGGATGCAGGTTTGTGTGTGTGTGTGTGTGTGTGTGTGTGCGCATGAGTCTTTGGTACAGGTTTTAAAAGCGTGGCGAACAATGAAGACGCTCGTTAGGCGCCACACACACACACACACACACACACACACACACACACACACACATTAATGCAGCAAAACATAAACAACAGCTGATGAAGAAATAAACAAAAATATCTTTGACATTTTTTTTTTTTCACATTAATGTACAAACATCACGACTGATTGTCTCCACGGGGTTTCACAGTGCACGTTCAGATTCAAGCCACAAGAAAAACAACGGGGTCGACGTGGCGTGAAAGCGTCTCAACGGACCCCCCCCTCTAACCCCCCCCTTTATTTTGTACATTAAATAGGATAGAGCAAGGCACTCTGGGTAAAAAGAAGGCCTGGATTAATACCTGCCATTAATCTGTGCAAACAGTTGACTTTTTAAACCCCCGGTGATTTTGGGAACACGGCTAAATTAAAAGTCGTATTTCAGCCGAGCCGACAGGAAAGGTGACGGGGTTAAGAAATGGTTGTATTTAGTCTCGGTGTACCTTCTCCTTCTTTAGTGTAGCGGCTTTTTCTTTTTCTTTTTTACAACCTCACTCTTTTCTTTCTTCACTGCTCGGCTCCCCGACCGACCTGAAATTACCTTAAATTGGTCCGAACTGGATGGAAACACTCTAAAAGTGCTGCTCAGCCAAAGTCTAAGTTCCTCCGGCCAAAGAAACAATAAAAGAAAAAAGAAACGGGTACCGAACTAACTTAGGAATTCACAGTCGCTCTTTGTCACACTTCAACAAGCTGATCCGGCCATAAAGAGCAGCTTTAAAACCTCGAGTCAGCTCTCCAGCAAACAGAAAAAACACATTCAGACTTAATGAGGATGTCAGCGTGAACCTTTCAATGGTCGCACAAAGATTCAAAAACACTTGAATGAATGAAAAGAACTCATAACCTTCCTTCATTAACCCACCGTGGAACAAATAAAAGGATAGACCCATATGGGATTCAGGTATCAATAGTGATTGATCAGGATTTTACACAGTATTTACTCTTTGTGAACATCAACAACAACAACAGAAACAAACATACAGGATAAAAACAACCCTCCAGAATGTTCTGGATCAACAGAGTTCATTATGGGGGTTTTCTTTTTAGTCACCAAATGTTTTCTATATATTGGTAAAGCCCATATTTGGTCTATCCCTTACGCAATCCTTCATGGTGTGAGTGAGTGTCCATGTGGAGGTGAAAACCAAAAAAAAAAAAACTGAACAGAACAGAAATGGTGAAACACAACCAAACCAGAAATAAACAGAACCAGAAACCAGCCGTGAGGGTGCTGTGCGGGGGAATCAGTGCAGCTTTTGGTGGGAGAATAGGTTCCATCGGGTACTACCACACCTGGTTGGTCCAATAAATGTCCCTCTGGTACGTGTTTGCGTAGTCTCCTACCTGTTTGCTGCTGTATTTGGGCGGGTTGGCCTTGTAGCTGTAATCCGAATATTGGTCGGAGCCCGTGGAGTTGTTGTCGCCCGTTCCCACGAAGGTGTTGGTGGCGGGGAGGTCCTGAACCGCCTGGTGCTTCTTGGAGGCGGAGGGCGACTGCGGTTGGAGTTGGATCGACGGCAAAGGGGAGTTGGAGCGGTAGTGGCGGCCGAGGTCGGGGCTTCCCGGCGGGTAGTTAAGGGGCAGGTGGATTCGGGGACTGTCGTTCACCGTGTCGTTGATGAGGTTGAACTTGAGGCCTTTCTGTAAGCTCGCCTCTTCGTCCTCCTCCAGCGGTTTTGCCGGTTTTGGGGCTTTACCCTTTTTACTCTTCTTCCCTTTGCCGTTTTTGGGGCCTTGCTTCGGCGCGTACAGATCCTTGCTCTCCTTCTTGCCGGCCTGGTAGCCACTCTTGGTGTCCTTCTGCAGTCTGTACCTGATGACCATCACGGCTACAATCACCAGAATCACGCCGGCGATCCCTGCGAGGCTGCCGTACAGGATGTTGCTGCGCTGAGCGTGGGCGTAGTTGGGGTCTCCGGCGATGTCCCGGTCCAGAGGGGTGTAGAGGCTGTGCCCGACCAGCGCCTCGATGAGCGAGACGTTGGATTTGGTGTCGTTGACAAAGACGTGCACAAGGGCGGTGGTGTGGCGGGGAGGTTTGCCTTTATCGCTGACCCTCACCACCAGGCGGTGCAGCCCGGTGTGCTTGCCGGTGAATTCCTGTGCCAGTGTGATCTCCCCGCTGCTCGGTGAGATGTGGAACAGTCCGTATGGGTTGCCGCCTGTGATGGTGTACACCAGCTCGGCGTTGGGTCCGTAGTCGATGTCCTCGGCCTCCACCACCTCCACACGGGTCTCCGGCTGGGTGACCGGCGACATGTACGTGTAGGAGGAGTTAGCCGGTTTGGTGACATAGGGGGCGTTATCGTTCTCGTCCAGGACGTTGATGGTCACGCCGACGTAGGAGGATCGAGGTGGGTCGCCGGCATCCACGGCCTTCAGGCGGAAGGTGTAGGTGCTCTCCTTCTCTCGGTCGAAGGAGATGCTGGACAGGATGGTTCCGGTGCCGTTCTGGATGACGAACTTGCCGTTGTCCGGTTCCACAAACAGCCTCACTCTGGCGTTCTCGCCCTTATCATTATCAGTGACGGTCACGACACCAACAGGGTTGAGCGGCGCCATGTTCTCGATGACAGAGAAGCTGTAGCCGCTCAGCATGAACTTGGGGTCATTGTCATTGCGGTCCAGAACATTAATGACCACGGTAGCGGTGCCGGTTTTACTCGGAACTCCCTTGTCTGCCGCCGCCACGCGGAACTCGTATCGCTCCGTCTCTTCCCGATCCAGGAGGTTCTTCACGCGGACCTCTCCGCTGTTGGCATCGATTTCAAACAGCCTGCTGGCCGAGAGCTCGATGATGCTGTACGCCAGCTCCGCATTGGTGCCGCTGTCGGCATCCGTCGCCACGACTTCCAGCACCTTGTCGCCTGGCTGGTTGCCCTCCGGAAAGTCCACCTCAAGCATCACGGGAGAGAAGCTTGGCGTGTTGTCGTTCATGTCCGTGACCTGGACTCGGAGAGCGTTGGTGCTGGACAGCGCCGGATTCCCAGAATCCACCGCCACTATTTCAATCCTGTAATCCTTAACACGCTCGTAATCCAGCAGCGTGGTCGTCTGCAGGAAGTACTTCCTCTTCCGATCGTTGGCCGACTCGCTCGCAGGTCGGAGCTGAAAGGGGACGTCACCGGCGACCACGCACGTCACCACCGCGTTTTCCCCCTCGTCGCGGTCCGACACTTGGACCAACGCCACCGGTGTGCCGATGGGCATGTCCTCCGAGATGTTTGCAATGCCGTCCTGGTGCGTCACCAAGCCGATACCGCGGATCTCGATGGCGGGCGCGTTGTCGTTCTGGTCCTTGACGTTGATGGTCACCAGGACCTTGGAGCTCTTGGAGTTGGGTCCACGATCTTTGGCGACCACAAAGAACTTGAGGAAGCTCTCCTCCTCGCGGTCCACCAGGCCCTTCACGTAGATGATGCCTGTGGAGCGGTCGATGCGCAGGAGCCTCTGGACCGTGTCCGACGCCTGGTGCAGGCTGTAATCGATCTCTCCGTTGGCGCCGGTGTCGGCATCGTTGGCTCTGACCTGTGAGGACAAAAAGAAAAGGTTTTACAAATACTATATTTCCCCAAATAAAAGGTTGTGCAGGAAGATAATTTTGTGTTTTTGTGACTCAGGTTTGTCATCCGGGACATTAAAAGTACTTTTTAGTACGTTTATGTAGTTGGCTTCATTTTCCCTTAGTAACCTAAAAATAAAAATAGGATAATTAAGAAATCAAAGAAAATTAATAAAAAGAAGATCACTTACAGCAAATTAAATGTTATTTTTACACTGTTTAATTTTCTGTTATAGTTGGATGATCTGTTATGGACCCATTTTACACACAAGTGTAATTTTTTGTTTTAGTTTTTGGAAAACTGAAGATTTGAGAGAATTTACTGATTTCTAAAACCATCTATGTAATGCTTCACTAGTGTGCCAAAATAATGGTTTTGAGTTCAAATATCTTTATTTTTGGGCTTCTGTTGATCCATGTGAGTCTGTAATGTTTTAATCTTTTAAAGCGTTACTTTTGTACCAAATCTCTCTTTTCTGTTGCTTTTAACACCTCCAGACAACGTTGAAAAGATGTTTGGGTTTGTCAACACAACAGGTAATCAATCAAATCAGGAGATCCTCAGTATATAAAGATATAAGTTGTCGTTTTATTTTGATTAACTGATTGAAATTAAACTATTAAATTCTCCATTTATGTGTCAATCTTCACCATAAAAGTTCACAAATCCAAAAGTTAAAACTGAGCAGTCTGAACACGCCGTTATAACCGCCGTTGGATCTTAATGATCATATACCTTCTTACAGACTCACCACCATTACTAATGCAACACTACAAACCCCTTTATGTTTTCCTGGGGGGGGGGCCTTTATGTGTGAAACATAACGGACGATCAAAGCCGAGCACACACGCCCACACAACAACATCTAACGGCCGTGCAGCGGGTCATTGGCGTCTAATGGGCAGATGAGTGAATGTTAATGTTCCTCTCATTATCAGAAAAGCCTCGGCTCCTCGGGGCCCATTAGGAGACTGGAGAAAGGACGGACCGGCATTCGGGCCAGCTTCGTGCGCCCAAAAACCCAAAGTAAATGGAGGTAATTAGTCAATTAGGAGGTACGATCCGTCAGCAGAATATCACTTAGGATGCACTCGTTAGGACGCCTTTCTATCTGCACATCTAATACTTTTTAATTGCATTCATTCGGTGCCACGGTTCGCTGTTGAGAAATGTAGGTCGGCGTGTAGATTTTAAGCAAACTAGCTGTTGAACAGCTGATTTAAATGTCCCAGGTGCTGCTGGTTCAGCGTTTCTCTTCCAGGCTTCACCTGGGACTCACAGTAATGTAATTAGGGTTTTTAAATTTTAAGGCCACTATTTCTTTAAAAGCTGAATCCGAGCCAAGCGTGCACTCAGCAAAATAATCTCCTAAAATTGAAGTCCTAAAACATATAACTGGTTTCTTTTAAAAAAGACAATCTGCCAGTGGGGGGGAGGGAGGACTATCTTAACCCATTTAAAACAAACAATAAAACTCCAAGGACACAAGAATTTATTTGAAATTCAAGCAGAGATGGTTTTTAAAAGGACGTTTTTGGGGGAATTATGCTCGTTCACTTTCTTGCCAAGATGAGGACATTGATGCCTAAATCTGGGGTTGAGATGTGAAACTATTCCTCATATATCAAATATGTATTTAACAAAAGGGACCAGTGTGTCGGATTTAGCGGCAACTGAATACTGCTCGCCTTTTATCACCGTTCACCTTTGTTTTCATTCAGAAATCAGCTGCAACTAACTTTCATTATCAATTAATATACTTTTGACCGAACAGTAAAAAACACAAAATATATTTAGTTTAAAATGATGTAAAACAAAAAAAAATTTTAAAATAAGTGTTGATTCAACTAATAAATTATTAAGTTTTACTCTTTAGTTCTGAAATAATTCTTCAAAAAAAATGTGTAGGAGAAACTATGGTGCATAAAAACGTCTCATTATTCTTATTTCTATAATAATAAACAAACGTAATGATATTATTTAAATTTCTGCCAATAGATCCTCCAAAATGTTCCTGCGGAGATATCTGCGTTTGTAGCTGGAGTCAAGGGAACATTTAGTTGAACATTTAAGGAGGAAATCCACGTTTCAAAAAGGTTAATGCGGCCAACAGAAATCTCTGAAGGATTGTCTTTTTAACACGGACTCTAGTTCAGACTGCCACATAATAAATATCTGGTTTCCTGCCTGCTCAGGATCACAGGACTGTGACAGACCGTCAACCGGCACACCCGTGAGGGCGACCGTGGAAATCACTGATCCAAGTCGGAGAGGTTAAGGTTAAAGAAAGCATGAAAGTGAAATTATAATTTCTCCTGCCCATTGATTTCCTTTTCCTCCGGTGTGGCTTTAAGCAGCCAGACATCACCAAACAGCGGTGAATTATTGACAGCTTCTGAGAATTGTGTATTGAACAGTGGAGCTGCTGGAGCAAAGTGCTGCTGTGATGAGGCCAGAGCCGCGTTGGCTGCTTTCCAAGGCCGCTCTGTTCGGGCGTACAGCAAATATAAACACTGTTTATCTCCCGGTTAACTATTAACCAGCGAGACCCAACCGGTTTCTTAAACAGCGGCCTAGATTCTCTGCTTTTTTAAAATTAGAACCATTAATTTCTAGGCTGGTTATCTTCCCTCAAGGAGGCTTTTAGTTTCAGTTTATTCCTAAGAAAGATAATCCGTCATCAGTTTATATCCCATCTGGTTTATTATTGACTAAAATACATTATAATTAAATGGTAGTTCAGTGTGTTCGAGTTGATTAATCAGCTGTTATTTATCGTCTTTTTCTCAGATGTGGCTGTTCAGTCAGTATTCTCAATTGTTCTTTAATAGATTTGAAGAGATCTTACATCTTAAAAAGGGTGAATAACACTAAAGGAACAATGTGAAGTCTTAGCAGATTAAAACCTAATTTCACTCTGATTGATGAGATCTGACATAAAACCGCCCAAATCTACCAAAGTTAGAGCAGTTTTAGTCGTTTCATGTGACGCATTTCTGTTGTTTTCTGGCTGGTTCAAAGTGGGCGGGGCTTAGTGAGGAACAAGGTGATGTCACATACTTCAGGGACCCAATCAGGTGTGAGAGCAACATTCGAACCAAAATGTGATGGCGGCTGTTTGTAGGTCAAATCTTATCAAATCACACCCACACAGCCGATAAGGGTTAATAAATGATTACATCATCTGCATAGAAAGTCCAAAGTCAGCGTTTTCTTATCGTATCAAATCAAATGTTAAACTGTTTAAGGTCAAGAATTAGGATCAAGCAGCTGAAACTATAATGTACTTTAATAATAAAAGTATAATAAATAAATATATCTGTACTATTGGGGGGTTGTTGTGGCCTAAAATGCCTGATTTCACAGCAGTTTGTCTCAAAAAATGTTTGTTTTTAGGCACTTTTGGCAATAAAATTACGGGAGAAAGTAAAAATTGCTGTAATTGTTGTGATCGCAACTTCTTGGAGGGATTGACTAACAGACGATCAATACTAAAGGCTGCTGGGCCACAGTGAGGGAAACACTCAAAGTACTGAGTTATCATTTTATCCTAAATTTTTGACACTAAGATTTTAATTTTTCGGTTATCAGTTAACTCGATTTTAGTTGATCCAAACAGATATAGGTGAACTCGCTCAAGAACGTTCACGCTCATTAATATTTAATTTTAATAATAATTGATTAATAAGGGGGTTTGGTGACCAGCGGCTGCCTGGAAAGAAGATTTCCAAATAGGTCAAACTGTGTAAAAAAAACGCAGCGGCACGCTCCTTTAAAAGAGCGAGTCAGAAAAGCAGTGATATACATGTCTGCGCCGCCATTGGACGATCTTAAGCAGGTCAGGGTCGTCAGTCGGCGCCGTCCCGCTGCCTCTAAAAGCATCACTCCTAAAAAAAAACGCTACGTTAAGTGAAATGAATTCTGCGGCTCTCTGAAATGCAACGAGCCACATCCAGAGCAATAATACCAATAAGCCCCGTGGATAATCTCATGACTGACTCAGATTAAGTCATGCGCTGCTCGCTGGAAGGCTGGCTGGTCGCGCTGCAGCGAGGGAAGAGGAGGAGGAGGAGGAGGAGGAGGATATGGCAAGGTTTGTCGGGATACTTCCTGCTCCTGCCCAGCTGACGGTGGCATCACGTAGCCGCCGCCACCCGGGGGGGGGCTCAAAGGTGAAGTTGAATCAGTGGTTAATATGTGACTACACACGGCGATCCCACGGCCTGCTTCACCTCCCACCGCACCATCTGTCTGTACGGATAATTGAGCAGCATATTATGTGCAGTCAGCGCGCCGTGTTGTCCTGCAGCTCGCCGTGTTATCACTGCGATGTGGATTGAGTCTGGAGGAGCACTCAGACACCAGGAGGGGCAGATTTATCCTGAATTAAACTCTCTTACACAAGAAGAGTGTGATAGTGAGGACAAACATTGGGAAAAGCCTGGACTCTAGTCTTCTTTTTTTTTAGGGCAAGGCCACTTTTGCTTCTGATAAATACAAATTTAATGAGGCATCGCAGCCAAAACTGACCACCAGTATATGAACAACGAGCTTAACCTTTAATACAGCAGTTAAATTAATCTACAAACATTATATATAATATTAAAAAACACTGACAGGGAACGTTTTACTGCACTTCTTACAGTAAATGTTTCTATCAGGGATGTTTATAATGCTGTATTTACTTCCTCCACACATCCTTCCCCTTTAAGAAAAGTGGGGTAACCTGTTAGTGAGTTAGCCGCTTGCAAGCGTCACGCTCTCTCTTGTGATTTTCTTTCACCTCAGAAACAGAAAACGTAAATAATAATCTTTTTCTTTTACTATGAAAAAAGGGACATAATATAACTATACAGATATAAATACATAGATAATTGATGCTCCTTCAACTCAGTATCTAATATTAAGTGTTGTATGAAGATATCGAAGTAAATCTCCGCTGTAACATCAATTATTACCAATTATTTATGGTCTGTCCAACGTTCTTCATCCACCCTGCCGCCGGCTGTAAACCCATTAAATATCTGTCAATACCTTTTGCTTCTGGGGGAGACACAACCTCAATATATGGTTTGACATCCATTGGTGTGTGTTTGTACTTATATTCCAGTTGTTCTGTATGATAGCAGTTCGCTGCGTGACCTCCGCCCTTCCTCCGACAGTTACCATTACCAGATATTTTGTTCTTAATTTGAGATATCTACAGAAATCTTTGTGTTAACGCAGCATAAAGACGTCAAACCTTCCTTTATCCAGACTTTTAATCCGTCCTAAATTGGTGTGAAATCTGAATCACATGCACACAAACTTAATATCTTCTTCCAGTTTATGTGCTTTCATCCCCCCTAGAGCTAATTTTACCCTCTGATTCTCCGGCTTTTTCCATGTATCTTCTGTATATTTGTGTCTGAGAGTACAGCCTGTATATGGATACCTGCATTCAATGTGTTTCCATTGTGCTACACCAACCCAGTAATGCTCTCATCTGTGCTGAGATATAATAATCTCTCAGAGATAATAAACCCCAGCCTCTTCTTTCTGTAGCTGTAATGTTTTATATCGTACTTCAGGTCTTTTTCCTGCCGCATAAAAGTAGAATTTGACATTAATCTGCGTTGGTGAACTGAATCCTCGTAGGAACTGTTGACTTACAGGTGAAGATGTGAAACTTTCTGTCATATTTCTGCTGTTTTAAGGGAGAAAACCCCCGTTTTTAGTGGTTTTGTCCATGATTCCTGTTGCTTTTATATATTTTAGTCTCACATCTTCAGTCCAGTTCGGTCTGATTATCTGAACCACTGATCTGGAAGGTAAAACCAGGCTGAACATACAGTAATTACAGCCGAACAAACGAGTTAATGTTGACAACAAATCATCAAAAATATCACATAGGAGGCTTTTATGGCTCATAGTTCACCTTTGTTTTCATTCACTAATCAGTGGTTCAGATTCGAGCTGCAACTAACTTTCATTACAATTAATATATTGATTGTTGTTGTTTTACACTGAAAACGACGTCTGCAAATGTCTCGTTCTCGTAAAAAACCCAAAATATATTTAGTTTAAAATGATGTAAAACTAAAAAACTGATCGAAAATGTATCAAAAAAGTAAAATAAATGTAGATTAAATAAATAAATTATTAAGTTTTAGTCTTTAGTTGTGAAATAATTCTTCAAAATTGTTCAGAAAACTAATTCAAGTGAAAAACAATTTAATCTAAAGAGCCAAAATAATCCAAAACATTTAAGTTTTCTGAAAGAAGAAAAGTAAATTACCTCAACAACAGATTATAGTGTGTGTGTGTGTGTGTGTGTGTGTGTGTGTGTGTGTGTGTGTCGGCACTCACCTGTAGCACCGAGTGTCCCTGCTGGCTGTTCTCCGGCAGTTCGGCCTCGTAGTGACTCCTCTCAAACTTCGGGGCGTTGTCGTTCTGGTCGGTGACGGTGACTCGGAGCAGAGCGCTGCTCGCCCTCGGCGGACTCCCGCCGTCCACCACTCGGATGTTCAGGTCGTACGAGTCCTTCTTCTCGCGGTCCAGGTTGCCCATGACGACCAGCTGAGGCAGCTTCTCGTCCGTGTCCACCGCGACCTGCAGGCTGAACAGCTGGTCGGCGTCCGGCCCGGTGGTGAGCGAGTACTCGGCCACGCCATTGGTGCCGGAGTCCCTGTCGGTCGCCATGGGGATGGGGAAGAGGGTGCCGATGTGCGTGTTCTCGGGGATGGAGAGGGTTAGGATGGGCGAGGAGAACTGCGGCGTGTTGTCGTTGATGTCCTCCACCTCGATGCGTCCCTCGATGAGCCGCGGCCCCGAGCCGAAGCCCTTCACCATGTCGGTGATCGACACCTCGAACTCCAGGAAGCATTTGTCGCCCTCTAACAGGTTGCGGCAGTCCCTCAGCGTCTCACGGTCGATGGGGATCTCGGTGGTGTAGATCTCGCCGGTCTTGCCGTCCACCCGCAGGTACGGCGAGCCCACTTCCAGCTTGTAGAGGTGGCCGCTGTCGGGCAGGCCCCGCTCCGCCGCCAGGCTGCCGATACGCGAGTTGGGCGGCTGCTCCTCAGAAACCCGAAACAGGACGTCAGAGGTCGTGGCGCCGCAGGAAACCAGCAGACTGACCGTCAGGAACAGCAGAACCTCCCACCTGAGCGCCGCCATGTCTCCGCCCGACTGCACCGCTCTGAAACAGGACAGGGAAAACAGATTAACGAAACCGCCACTCATCCTCCAAACGCCGAATAACATAACGCCGACATACAGAGCTGCTCCTCGCTCAGATTTATGTCAGAGTCGTTCAGGAATAGATGGTCGAATTCGTCTCCTCGGGCCACTAAACATGTCCCGTACGGTTATTTGCGAGACCTGAGGGGTGACGGGGTTTCTGAGAGTGCAGAGAGCAGCCGAGCAGCACAGACTGATGACTTCCTCCTGCTGCCAGTCGACCGCACTGACAGGAAGACAAACCGAGCGCCGCTGCAGGCGACACTCGACCAAAATATAGTGACGGGAGGCGGCGAGCAGGAACGGGACGACTGCGAGTGTCAGCAACTCAGACTCGAGACTGTATAACGAGTTTTTATGCTGAACACAACTTCTACCATCAGTGTCACAGATAGGAACAAATACAGCAGAGAAGCATTTAGTTTTATTTTGAAAATCTGTGTATTTCAGAAGTTTGTACCCCATAACAACTGATTTATTACAAGTTCTCCTTATAGGACTTTTAGGATCAGACAGTTTGGACATTTAACAAACTCTGTTGAAGAATAAGAACATTTTTATTACTATTTTTAAGTTTTTAAGTGATGTGTCATTTGTTTGTTGAGCATTACGAGCTTACAAACATGTGAACAAATCCATACATGGTACATCATGGCGTGCATGGAGAGCCGGGGTAACGGGGGGTCAGTAGTGGCACAGCAGCTTATTTTGCCACCCCGAGCCACATTGTGAGTAATTCAGGCCACGACTGACTCATCAGACTAATGTCTACGTGGCTGCTGCTGCATGAGGAGTTCAAACCCCCGGCTCCTCTCTCGCCTCACGGCCGACAAATAACGGCGGGAAAGCGGGTGTGAATGACGGAGCGTCGGATTCTGGGGAGATACAGAAACAATCACATTTTCCACCAGAGGAACGGCACAAGAAACAGCTACTATTATTGTATGTATTACAGTTTATAGATTATGTTGTGGCTGTGCTAGCCCCCCCTCCCGGTGATTCAGATCTGCTCTAAAATTTAAAAGGTAGTTTCTTGGTTCAGGATATCATATTATATTATATTTAACTTCTACCAATGTCATTAAAAGTGCGTCTATAATTAATAGTTTTTCTGTATTCCTGCTGACAAACAAAGATTTCAGACATTTTGAAGGTTTGCATGAGGCTCATAAACTCAGATTTAAGACTTTTTTAAGAGCTTTTAAACGTCAATTTGAATGAAAATCAGACTTATGTAATCTAACACAATTTAAGTCATAAAACACAATATCTGAGTCTATATGAGCCATGATGACTCCGGTGATGAGAACCGACTCCGAGATCAAGGCTGAAACATCTCGCTCACAAAAGGTCTGGAGCTCATAATTTTATATCTGAGCCAGACTCTTTCTTCATCTCCTCTCCTTTTGAACCTCCACCTCTTCTTCCTCTCTTTCTTCTCTCCGTCTCTACGCGTACTTTAGTTGTTCTTTGGCAGTAATTCATCTCACTCACACACACTCAGACACACTCTCTATTTTGTGCTGTAGGAGTTTCTCGGCTGCGGGTCGTCGAGGTTAATCTGAAGAGCTTTTCTTTTTTCTCCTCACGTCCTTGATTTGGAGACGAACACACACACACACACATACATATGGACCGGCATGCTGAGCAGGAAGCAGGAAGTTGCTCTCCTCCTCCTCCTCCTCATCTTCCTCCTGATGCACCGACGTTACTGTGGACTACTGAACTGTGTGTGTGGGAGTCAAGGCTTGTGTTTCCTGAGCCCGTTAAAGTTTCCTCCAACGGAAAACACGACATCGGAAATAAAGTTGTGTCGTGTATCGGGGTTGATGCCGAGCTCTCAGATGTTAAATATCGTCTGCACACTTAAAGGAAACTGTTATTGATCCTTAAGTAAACAGTCTTTAGGCGTGTGTCCAGGATTCAATACTGTCAGGACTGCAGTCAATCAATCAGTCGATCGGTTTTCTGTCATTTGTGGAATTTATTAATTTACATATTTCTCATTATTGTTGGTTAATGAGGACGAAGTGTGTTCACATCGTAAGAAGACTTTAATGTTACTGTGTGTTTAAAAAGGACCATTGTGCAGTATTTAGTGCATTCAAGTCGCAGCTAACTGAACACCGCTCGCGTCTGTATTTGACGACTGCGGCTGTGAAACTGCCGTATAAAGCAGATAGTTATATTATAGATATATAAAACACAACAGTTCTTATATTCAGGAGATTAAACACTAATAAAAACATACATATGATTATTATATGACTGATAATAAATGTTGGACACTGGAGCTTTTAAAAGCTCATAAACGCTGACTGGTAACTGAGGGTTGATGCAAATTCATACTGGTTCCTACTGGTGCAGGTGGAGAAATGTGGCCAAAAGTATGTGGACGGCGACCTTATCTAACACCTCCGAGATGAACACGTAGGCACTGTTGTCCACATACCTTTTGACCACGTCAGTGACGATGCCTGTGAGCTGAGCCTGAGCCTTTCTCAGACGTGTACGCGACTACAACAGCAGAGTTTTTAGTTAAAACTGTGAAAAATGTCCAACAAACAGTCAACAAACAGACAAGATCCCAACAGCTGAGAGGCTGAAAGCAGCAAATGTTTGACAGTGCCGCTTCCTGCTGTGACACACACACCTAATTACCCCCATACGAATGTGAATGAGTGTGTGTGTGTGTGGAGGGGGGGGTTCACTGTGTGTGTGTGTTACAGTGTAATACGTGTGTGTGTGTTTCTTTTCTCACATTTGTCTCCAGAGCTGCCAAATACCCCAAACCCCGCCGACCTCTGACCTCTGACCCCCCGCGCAGGCATTTCACACGTCACCGTGGAAACTGAGCTGAAACAACACACAGTTTGCTGGCCGGCGTCCCGTTTCGATGGCGCCGCCAGAACTGCACCAACCGGTCCGACCTGCTGTCAGTATGCCGGGACGGTGACGGTGACGAATACACACCAGTTGTGATGTTCATGCTTTTATTTTGTAGCTCATTTAAAACTCATTTTTAAAACCTCGGTGATGTTAGTTTAACACCAAATGTATATTTTATTAGTTATATTCTCACGTGGTTCTGAATAGAAGAGATTAGGATATAAACTTTATAGGTTATAAACACACACGTATCAACTATAAACACCAAGATAAATGAATAAAAGTAGTGTGTTTGTGCTTCCTGGTGCATTAACATTAAACCTCACGCCGCTGTTTGTTTAACACTGACCTCCTGTTTTTACTCTCGGGTCGGTATAAACCGGGAAATAACCCACCGCGGGGAAGAAAGGACACCTTCAGGACCGCGATGGGATGATATCAGTGGAGAATCACTCTGTGTGTCAACATTATTAGTCATTCGGTTGATGGGTTGAATTCTTCCGCACACCACGCACGCAGGCAGGAAATTGGTGTGAAGGCAACCAGGGTGTTAAATTCACTTTTTGTGTCCCTTCGGCCAAATTGCTGGTTAAATTTTACCAGCTGCTCAACTGATTACGGCAAATGGACCAGCGTTTGCCTCGTGGACAGCGAGGTCTATTCTTAAAACACTAGTTTTTCTACTGTAGTTAATTTAATGAATAAGAAAACATCTATTAGAAAAGGGAGTATATGTTGAAGGACATGGGATTTTGTGACATGCCTAGTGCTAATTTTATGTCCCTGAAGGCAACACGGACGAACACGAAGGACCAAACGAGGAGCTCGTACCTGATTACTGGACGTCACCTGAGTACGAACTCTGACACGGACCAGATAAACTTTGCCACAACAGACTCAAACACCATTAACCTCTTTTTGACACCCACATGTGACTCAAAACAAACCGGAGAGAGCTCGAAAAATGTACCATTGAGGGTTTAGAAACAAACACCAGAGCACATTCTGCATATCCTGTGTAACATTCCCCCCCCGAGAGTTCATATGTGGTCACATCTCAGTTTCACTGCAGCCACACATAGTTTGGGGGATATTTAGGGTTGCAGACACATTTCTAAGTCGTTAACAAATCTAATTTAAAGACGTAAAAATGTAAAACATAAAATTATGCAACACTGAAACACAAACTATGAGTCAGACGCAATCCGACACCAGCCGCCCTCGTTCACTGCTCATGGGAAATGTGAATTGTTGTGGTTTTGTAAACTGTAACATGGAGGCAGATCGGGGTCATGAGAATCCCTGTTAACATGTTTGTTCACATGTAGTGTGTGTGTGTTTGTGTGTGTGTGTGTGTGTGTGTGTGTGTGTTTGTTGTCTCCTCGGGGACAGTCCCGGGGTGAGCCGGGGATCGTCCAGCTCGTCCTTTTTCCCACAGTCGGAAACTTTCTCACCGACCGGCCGCTCTGTGTGTGTGTTCAAATGTATGTGTGTGTGTGTGTGTGTGTGTGTGTGTGTGTGTGTGTGTGTGTGTGTGTGTTTTACAGTACAAAGACACTGCAGGGCTGCACGAGGACAGTAGGATTTCCATGTGTAAGGAGGCTGTTTGACGGTCTGACTCCTGGAACGGGCGAGAGACAAAGACTCACAATGGAGGACACAGAGGGAGAGAGAGAGAGGGCGTGTCCAGACAACAGCGCTGGTCTTAATGGCCCTGTTACCCCCCCCGCTGTGTGTGTGTTCAGTATTGATATTCAGAGTGTGTGTTAATGTACATTACATCACAAAGAGCAGCGTTAACCTCCCACGCTGCTCTAACGACCTCCGTCGCCTCAATACAAACTGAAAATTGAATATTTCTACAAACATACGTTAAAGTTTATTTTTTCCAGTAGCTGCAAAAACAAAACTCAAACTTATATCCAACAACCAACCAACTCTTCCACACATAATACACTGGTTCCCAACCTTCATCCATTATTTATAGTCATAAAATCAGTGATTTGAATGAATTTTGAGCAGATTGTTATTTTCTGTTTTTCTGTCTTTGTTTTGTATTTTATAATGTTT